TCTTCCTTTAAGAAAGGGAATTATTGTCATCAACGAATGCAAAAACACGCACAACCCTAGGCCAATTGACCGTTAAATTGGCGTGCAACTAAAGCCAGTCTCTGTTTACTTGCTTTTCATTGCGTTCAAATGATAGTGAGCAAAAAGTGGTTTCTCCTCTATCCTTTGGACCTCTATCCGACTCTATCGTCAGTTTTGTATTCTGACATTACTGCATTTGACTGTCGTTGAGTGAGGTTTATTGTGGAATATCTGGATAGGCGCGCAGTTGGATCAACGAAAGAGGGAATTGTTTCCTCTACTACAAAAGGTACTGTTTTGGCATAACTGTTATGCTTTCACAGATAATTAATTTTAAATTTGACCTTTAGTATGAAAGACGATTTACCAAAATCTTAACTAGGCGACGGTATGGCAGGAGAAGCTTGGTTAATAAGTTTCACAAAAAGATATATGTACGAGTATCGGTCAGATAAACAGAAAATACTAGCTTCTTAAAAAACGCAAACTTTGATGAATATAATGATGCTATGTGTTATGATAGCTCAGAGGAATTGCTTAGACAAATACATCCATTTCTATTATGTATTTTCAATCTCGATGACAGTGGAATAAACAAGCTGGACAAGCAATCTCTGATAAACGGAGAGAACAAGTGACTTTCCGTGGAATGGTGTCTGTCGATGTACATTATTTGCCTTTTGTTCGCGCTTATCAAAGAAAACGTCACAATCATTCCTTCCTGATTGGCGCACCTATGGGCAGCATAGACCTTTGATTTGAGACTGAGTGAGTGACCAATGAATTATTTATTGATGTTGCGAAGCATGTACAGATAAGTACTGTTACTTAGCTTTATTTTAATAAATATTTATTACTCTTAATTTATTTTTATATTCACTAATCTCATGTAAACATAGGTGTTACATTGTACAAAAGAACACAAGTCTATTTTCATAGATTGACATCTGTTTCTTATTACACTCATCAGTAACAATCTCGCGAGGTTACAATTTACTCGCAATTATAACAATACATTATATCTGGTTTTAGTATATCTAGATATAATAATAGATTAATAATTTGAACATTGTAGAAAACTGACGTATGATCCAACATTTTACAAGTTTGATCTGCTTACTCTCTAAGGCACAACAGCAGCGGAATCATCTCATGAACTGGACTCGCGGGATTGTCACGCGTCGACGATGCAATTTCACAACTGATATATTGTAGATGTGAGAAAGAAAGTTCAGTCCTGGAAGGAATTACGATTTATACTGGGTCAGACGTTTTAGCCAGCCTTCATGGTACCACATTCCCTGTAATCCAGGGATGATCTTTTCTACTCGTCCATCCATAAAGAAGGAAACTATTGCAATTTAAAAGAATTTCGACAAAATTCCTTTCTGAGCACAAACATTTTTCAACATAACCGTTATCACGATTTCTTACTTACTCATATTTAAGAAAGTACTGTTACATTTAAATTTTATGTTTTTATTATCAATTTGTTATGTCAAATGGTCTTTTTGTATTTTATTTATTTAGTTTATTGATGACAAAATAATTCAACTAACAAAGAATAGAAAAAGTAAATAAGTCCGCTAAAAATAAACAAACATTTAAAATATACTAACTACTGTAAAATTTCATTACGAATTCAGGTATTTTTCAAAGAAAAGTTAGACACAGGAAAACATAAGGATCAACAACGGTCCATACAATTTTTGCACAAACCCTGTAAGTAAAATGATCGCGGTGTCGTTAGTATCGCCAGTTACCGGACACTCTATACATCATACTAATCCCGATCCTCTCATTCTACGGCGCAATAAGTATACCTTTTACACAATGGTGAACTGTATTAAACAACATTCGCCCATGTAGCGGAGACCAGCGTGATCCAATTAGTTATACAACACGATTAAATTACAGGCACCGTAGTTTGTGTTCAGTATTAGAAGTAGAGATCAGCCTAGATTCCGCAGTTCCCTAGTACGCAGAGCTTACAATCGTTCAGAACAAAATTTTAATTGAATTTTTAATTGTAATCGTATGTGTTTCAATTTAAATGAAAAAAGTTGGATATATGTTCCATACCATTTGCGATGTAATAAAGAACAACATTCTAAAGCCCTCTCTAGAAAGCCCTAAATATCTACCCTTGTATGTCATAATGGATTACATTAGGTTATTGATGAGATGACGCCTAATCAAGCATATAATACTCCTACTTCCACGTAAGTTTCATGCTATCATTCGATGAACGCCTTTCTATCTCAGCCTAAGTTGAAACATGCAGGAACTTTCAGTATTATGTATTTCGATTATCCATCGATTCCGCAGAGTTAAATCCTGTAACTTCTTATCAACTTTTACCTAATGGTAGAATGACAACGATTTCGTTGTATAACACCCGGAATATTAAGATCATTCGGCATAATCGAGCCATGTTTCCATGCGAATACTCCCAGCAGTCACAACTATGGAACATGGAAAGTTCCAGCAACCTCGCAAACGAGGGAAATGTGGACCACTGTGCGTATCAGATTTTACCCACGCGCGACGATAGAGAGAACATTTTACTCCCAGATATGACGAATGAGTGGAGTTATTGAAACTCATTCGACATAAAACTACGTCCATCAAGATCAACGGTTTAGGCGACATACACGGGTACCAGGCATTCAATGAATGCATTTTAACTCGAAATTTACAGAGGCGTGAATCTATCGTAAGAGAATGTAATCAATGCTTTCCTCGTTATACAATTGTATTTATTTTGTAAGTTACATTTTTATTTAAGATCATTTAGTTAACTTTTACTGGATTTTAAATTCATTTTCAATTTACTTTCGTTTTCATTAAAACCCTTTATATTATTCAATTTAACTCGTGTTTGCCCATCCATAATGCCATGATATTTTTCAAAAGTTCTTTTAATAAATCCAGAATCGATTCTATAGTAAGATCACTTGCACGTAAAATTTAAACTCCGTTCTCTGACAAGTTGCAACTAGAAGACAATATTTCCTCTTCGAATAATTTCAGTTGCTTTCCAGTTCAGCGTTAAATGTGTCATGTCATGACGTATAACATCCGATCACACGTTTCATTGAACAAGATCATTTGTTCTGTCGATGATAATATTAGTCGCCTCATATTAATTTCGCAGGTGATAGTTCGAATCGATGCTCACCGCGGTAGTAAATTGTAGACCTTGCAGCCCCCAGAGAATAGAACAGGAAATCCGAGCGCTTAACTCACGTCTCATTACTGATAAAATCAATTACTGACTTTTTATGACTTCCACTTAATAGAATTGTCACTTCTATCGTTTGATTTTAACAAGAACGAGTTGTACAACACAAGCAAACATAGCGTTGTTAAGCACGAAATTCCCTGGACGTGTAATTTCGTGAAATAGTCATCTGAATTGGCCATCGAGATGTTGCGACTCGATACGATTGGACTGTCTTTTGTGTGGTTATTTCAAAAGCAAAACTTGCAGCAAAAATCACCTCAGATTTAAAAGATAACATTCAAGCGGTCATAACAGAAATGAAATCTTGTGTTTGAAAATTTTAACGATAATTGCCAAATCGCATAAGCATAGATAATTGATAATCTTCCGTAATTCAATACATACTTTTTACAGCATCAACAAACCCACAATTTATTCTCGATTTAATTCTCCATTTAACTGTTCCATGCAAATTTGACATTACACGGTCTGTTATCTCAGAACAATTGGTCTCACATTTTTTACAAACTAAAGGACAACAATAGCCTCTAAAACATACAATAGCAGAACATTTAAACTCGTGACTAGCTGTGATAATACTATGCACTTTTTGTTCTCCGCGTAGGTGTTTCTCCAAACCGAGATATATAAATTTCTCGCGACAAACGGAATCGAAAAGTCCTTTATGATGTTGCAACATGGTTTCGTTTACGAAATACCAACAGTTAAAATTTAGTGATATAACTTCCGGGGCACTTGATTTAAATCCCCAGTGGCAGAGCTCGTTGCGGTGCATACATGTCCTTCTGCACGAGAAACACGCAGATGCACGTTCACACGAGCTGCACCGCTAGCAATACTGTATCAAGTGCACCTGTGTAGAATCTCATGTACTTTTCACTGATTTTAATCATCCTTTACACGCGGAAATCACACAGTTCTTGTACTTTATAATATTAAACATATTAAGGGTGCCCATGCATAATGTCAATTTTTCACGTTCTCAGTGCTTCAATATAAGTAAAGTTATATAGAAACACAAATAATTCCTCGTGAATTTTAAGCAATTTTAGAAATAGCAAGATGGTGACTTTAACATATTTTAATTTAAACGAAATCTCTGATCTCGCATATAAAAATGATCGATTTGGCGTGGAATGGTTCATATGCGAAATATTCATCTATATATTGCTAGAGGCGCACATATCTACATAAAATCACAATGCAACAGATGATAAATGGAGCTAGTGATATCTCAAACCGGCTGATTCAAACCAGCACATCTAGAGCTTCGTCAGCTATATAGGCAATAGCTTGAGTCACTCTTAGATAGAGTCTGATCTAGGTCTTTCAATCCTTCGCCTTCGCTTTGGATGATTGTCTTCTTGGAATATTTATACGTTTCAAATATATTTTTGATAAGATAAGTTTTCCTAATATTTAAGTTTATTCGATTTAAGTAAAAACGTTCAGCAGCTCTGTTTACATTACCATATAAATTGTCTAAACTTTCTGCTCCGTTTGTGCCTCTCTCGACTGTGTTTTCACGGTATAAGGAGCTTATTAGACACCCTTGCTGAGTCGCACTACTTGGAAAATGAAAGCCGTAAGGGAAATCAAGGAAATCTGGCATTTCTTTATTAACCTATTTTTTTTCAAAGACGAAACATAGCAGATAACTAGTAGCAAAAGTATTTTATAAATACATACATATATATATATATATATATATATATATATATATATATATATATATATACACAGATACATTCTTTATAAAGTAATAAAGGAATGTTACATGCCACTTTCAATAAAACTGAAGAAAAAAGATCGAGTACGTAGGGGATAAAAGTTTTTCCATGTTTATGCACCCATGTCTAGATTAAAAAAAAAACAATGAATGGGAAACCAGGACAATGAACGCGAACGATTTTCAATACTAATTGAGACCTTTGTCTTCAATTATTCCTACTCTCTTAGTTATTGTTAAACAATGATGTGAAGATCTTCAATAATATTATGAATCCAATTGTTTACTATTTATTTCTCACGAAATTCCAAACCAAATTAGACAATTCTCGAAGTAGCATTCTCAATTTGCATTCTCTATTATTTAATGCAGTATCATTCTCTATTATTTATTGCTCCGTTCACCCGATATACGTCAAATAGATATAACCCACCACTCTGTCAACTTTCAGTAGGAAATGAATATTTAAAAATGTTAAAAGTTGAGAATGGTTGATGCAGTGCTCTTTGAACTCTTCACTAGTATTCCTTCGGAATATACTCGAAACATACAATTTAAAATCTGCTTTCAGCCAATGTTTCAAAGGAAACATTTAATTATTTATCAATTAAGATGACAATGTATTCTAATTTCAGAGAAATCTAGGCTTTCATTCCTAATGGTATTCGAGCTAGCATATAATGTTTATAAAGTGATTATCACTCAATCGCGCACTATATAACATGATAAGCTGGATACAACTTCTTGTCAGGAGATAAGAATTAAGGATGGTTCAGTTACCTTTAGAGTGTGCGGAAGACAAAGGTTGTTGATTGGCTAGACGTATTGATTCGCTATTTTTAGAGGTGATGAGGCAGATATTTATCTTTAGAAAGGAAGCATCGCTTCTTCGTCGCACACTTATCCCTACTTTCTCGGCTAGTTGATGCATATAGAGGAGTAAAGTGCACTCGCAAAACTGACATGCGATGTTTCTTTGTGTAAAATACATCTGAACATAAACATCTCGTTTTATGTGTACGTCAATACACGATACACTTTGCGGCGCTAATGCACTTGAGCTTGGTTTTATCAAACCCGAATTATCTCTAAAAATAGATGCAATTACATTAATATTTAACTAACGCAGCTGACTATATTCGAAGATCTAAATTAGACAATATGCGCTTTTTCCAATTATGGTTTATTTGCGATACCAAGGTACGTGTTGTTTCCGAGTAGCAGCTGTCAATAGTAGTCGATATTCCGGTCGCGTAATTTTATGAAGGATTAATGTCCTGGAAGTTGCTTTATTGCCATGAAACTTGTGAGATCCTGACGATCAAGTGCACATCATCCCACTGCCTCGTCTTCAATAGCAATTGACGTGTCGTAAACCCGCGACGTGAACCTCGCAGTTAACTCCTACGTGCCCATAGTATCCTCTTCGATACAGATTAGTATTAGACAATTTATATTATTATTACTGTATGAACTGTGTACAGGTTGAACTTCACATAGAAGCAAACAATACATCGAATCAGAGCACTACAACAAAATAAAATATATTCGAGTGCAATATTTCCCGCAATCTGACTAAGTAAATATTGGTAAAATTATTAACGAACTTTCTAGTTCAAAATCATGCACAGTAAACGTTTCCTACTTTTCTGCTTACATCGTGCTTTTGATAAAATATTTTTAAATAAGAATGTAAATTGCATTAGATAAATTTTAGGTGACAACGTATACATCTTTGTAATTTCTTTCCATTGATATAATTCTTTCAATTAAATATGCTATGTTAAGTAGCACGAGAAGTGCAGCAGATACAAAAAGAAGAAAAAAAGATACGATGTGCAAGAATCGACAGCACAGTTTACGGAACGGAACTGTTTCTGGCAAAAGCTAAACGAAGAATTCCTTCCAGGCCAGAAGTTTCGATATCCCGAAAGAGTACCCACTGAGAATCTTCCTGTTCAGGAGAAAAGTTCGATACTCTTGGACAACGAGTTAAGTGTTCTTATTAAACTTTCATGAAGGCACATAGGATATTCCAACGGTAAATTCTTTTAATCGTATCTGGTTCATGGAACGGAGAATTTCCGGTAGAGCACTCCTTGATCCGGGAAATGTTTTGAAGCCCCTTAGCCGTCGTGGGTAACACGTGTTTCAAATACTATTGGAACACTCTAGTTTAATTAATATTCAAGTGTCTTCGCGGCGAGATAAGTTGGCTGAATAACTTAAAAAGTGCAGTTGCAGCGGAGAAAATTCAGAAAAAAATTTGGCGAAGGATTTTGAAGGAGAACTGCGATGGCAATTAAAACTGGACGAAGTATAATTTATCAAGGCGAATATAAAATGAGCTACAGTAGACGAAACAGCAAGTTATGTTGAGCTTAAAATAGCAAGTTTTATAAATTTCTACTTTTTGTTAATCAACAGAGACATTTACATTTTGATTGTCGTAATTTGTACTCGTAGATTCGGTGAAAGTGAAACGTTTGAAAAAAATCATATTTAGGAACGCAGAACTGATATTTCTCGTTTTTTTAAACATTTAAATTTTTAAGCGCGTGGCCTTTAAAGCTGTTTCTATCATTAAAATGGCTACACAGAATTTTTTATGCGAATTGCGAGAATTTGACGTGAAAGCTGCTTTTAGACAGGTGATCATATTAGGGAAGAATCTTGTCGAAAAGATGGCCTTAAAGGAGATAGTCCTCCTGATGCGTGAGAAGCCATTCAATACATTCCTTCGGTTGAATTATACACAAAATAGATAGGTAGGTGTACGTTTAAAACCTGCAAAGCTGTGTAGAGGTACTTGTGTAGATAAAGCATTTTAAACCAAAAGGTATTGGTACAAAACAATAGAGTTGTATAGTATTATACTTAAGATATCTGATATATTCTGTCTCCTTGTTTGTAAATGTAACTACATTAGAATACATAATAATATACATTAGTTACGTAAGATTGTGGTAACATTATGCTATTTAAATTATTGGTTATTGTATAATAGATTAATAAATGAAAACTTTCTGTTACAAAATTAGTTTCTAACTAGCATTAGGAATATAGTTTTAGGATTACAAATGATTATATGAGTACATAACGGTTATATTAGTAAAATATTTGAGATCAAAGTCGTTTTCCCAAATGGTATTCATATCAAGGAAAGAATTTTCATTTGGTGACGTAGAATCCGCTTCAATAAACTTCGAGGGTATAAAAAGTATAGTATTCGGAACAAACTTTAATAAGAAACTTTAGGATCTAACATTTTTTTGTGAGATTAAATATGGCACGCAGGTAAAACTTGTATTAAAAATACATTTCGATGTTCCAGTATGTTCCATAATAAACAAATATGAAGTATTATTTAATTTTCATTAATAATTTGTGAGATTGGCATTTTTCTATGATTGTGTACATCAGAAAACGATATCGTAAATTTAATGTGTAATTGTATTGTAAAATATATATAACTTTCGCCTTGAGAAAATAATGTAAAATTTATTGAATGGTAGATATTATTTACCTTGAACCTGAACCATTCGCCAGTAAAATTTGCCAAAACTTTCTAACAAGCCTCGCATAAACAAGGTCAAGAGAAGCCTCTTTTCAATAAACCAGACGGAAGCGGATTACAGCAGCGAGGAGATAATCCAACATAGTTGGAAGATAAGAACCAGTTTTTTGTAATATATAGCTTGAGAAGAAACCGATTCAGCAGGACGAAAAATATGGGAGTTTTGAATTGTAACAAACGAATGGAAGTTTATATTTAGCTTACATCGAACTACAACTGCGTCTCAATTTAACGTAACATTTTCAGATATTGTTTGTTGAGATATTATTATTTTTAAATGTTTTACTAATGGTAAAATGAGTAAAATTTTCGTGAAATATTCAATCAAATTCAGAAAATTTCATATTCTCCTATTATAATGAAAAATGACTTTGTTCTCGTTTGATTGGTCTCAAAAGTAGTTTCATTGCTTATCCACATTTCAAGGTACAAAATTCCTTGATGGTTCCACTCAACGTATAGAAGAACTTTAGAAGCACGAAGACCTAGACTTTGCATACTGATGTGGGGGCTCTTCCTTACGAGTCCAACATCATTACCGTTGAAGGTTGGCGTATAAAACACTTTTCATCTGCATTTACCAGATGCTTTGATAGCGATTCATTTACGTCGCGTACATGTAAAAGTATGCACGTTCTTATGCAGTCAAGAGGTTCAAACTCATGGGCTGGTGCAACACACACACTTTCAAGTTTGATACTGAACCAGTTTTCTTTAACACGTTCACCATACTGCACACAATTATCTACTTCACTTTTATTCACCACTATTAAGACTAACACTCCAGAGGTCAACGTATATCTAGCAAATGTACAACTAATAAAAATTTATTTAAAATATATAAATTTGAATTTGAACTAATCTAGTATCAACAATAATCTACGAATAGTCGTGTAAGTAGATACACATCTTACATGCAAATATGTAGAATATGGATATATGCAAAGTATGCAGATTTCATCGTCATCCGCCTAAATACTTCACCTATTATTAAAATCTCTTAACCAGATCGAAGAGAAATGAATTATTACATAAATATCATTCATGTTTTGTACTATTGCGTCTTCCAGTTGATCACGATTTTTCCCAACTAACAACAACGTAGAGATAAACAACACTTAGAGATGGTTGAAGAGTCAACAATATTTAAGAAATATTGCACTAGCATTAAACCTTATCGTCGTGTTTCCGTACCACCGTATATACGTGAGATACCTTTTATTTTTGCTGCAGATAGGTTCTGCTCATTAGATCCTCCTTACCTTCGGGCCATGCAAGGTGAAACAAGGGAATCGTGCTCTTCTACCGAGGAAGGAAGACGTTGAGAAATACGAAGAAGATGGGCTAACTAGTTACGGAGCTTTAATGAAACGAAGCGAATACTGCGCGAACGGCAATCAAGCGTCTTGGAATTAAATTTGGAGCCTCTATTGCGGGTCGAAATTATGGTCGAACAAAAGCTCGCGGTTTTACAAGTCGGGGCACATTATGCCTATTCATTTCAGTTGCATTAACATGTAATTAGGTAATATGGACAAAAGTGTCTTGTCGAAACACAATTTGAATGATGAAATGAAAATATCTTTTATTAACTGGCACGGTTTGTCTTGTTCATTTAGTTCGAACCATAATTACGAGCAAATACGTTGAAGGTCAAATGTGTCTTCCAATTTCAATATTTTTATAACGTTATTGTAAGCTTTACCACTCGTAAGTAAGGTAAGATTCCTGAATGTATTCGAAATTTATAATTTGATAAAAATTGAATTTGAAAATTCGTCCATTACGCGTGGGATTCGGCATAGCTTGACTGGCGTGTCTGACTATAACTTGTTATTTCTACTTGCATTTGAGTGTAGGCGTAAATATACGTAGTGATACGGTGCTAGCTGCTTTAATCTCCTAGATTCTGAATTTGTTGTGTGTTAAACATATGTTCCTCGTGTAATTCACGCTATTGAGGATCCGATATGTCTAATTAAATTATACAAATTACAACATTTACGTAAATTGTAGAATACTAGTTTTCTCGAGAATCGTTTCGTAGTTTATATGAAAAATCATATTCCTCTCTTATATTTATTCTTTATTCTATAACTTGTGCATGTATTAGTAGCAAAATATAACGCACCATGTTAAAACACCACCATGTTTGGGGAAAAACAATGTTCTTTGAGGTTTCACCGCGGTTTACAGCGAAACTCTTAACTGTATCATTGACTGCATAACACGCTCGGTGAAGTATGCTCCAACCTGTGAGGCTCTGATGCATAAGATGCTGAAAGCTGGTTTCCGAGGTGACGAGTTCCAAGTTGTCGTTTTTACCGTTTACCACGCTACTCACCGAGATACGCGCACTTCTCTGATAAAAGGGTTACCTTTTCCCGCGTATCCCCTTCATGCTCGACCAGACATACTATTTAACGAAAATCTGGTCCGAGTTATTTTTCCACGGATTTCCTATGCAACATGGATTTTCTTTTTTTAAATGCCTGCAGTGAACTATTCACGAATAAAGGCCTGTTACGATATAATACAAAGCGTCACGATACAAACTTTCATTCACAGCACAGTACACGCATTCAATAAAGATCGATAACGAAAAAGTTGCTCAAATGATTTACTGGTGAATAAGCAAAATCTGACCTGAAACATCAAGTTTATATGTGTCAGCTTTTATTTTGTATTTTGGTCTATATAAGCTAAGTATAAATACTAAAACCCTTTTTGATAAACGCTTTAAATCTTCTTATATCGACTTTGTATATAAAAAGTTTTTAGATGTGCAATATTTTTAAGAACACCACAACTAACGCTGTTAAAATTTCTTTCCCAGCTATACCAAGTTATGTATTGCAGCAATCTGCATTTGCTTACCTTCACAAGAGGTTCTCAAAACGACCACCTTGCATCTGAATGTAAATCTTTAGATGCCGCCTTCTTAATCTTCTTAACCCCCCGACGGATCCAGGTGTTACTCGGATTTCCTGGAAACCTTGTTTAATTCTCTGGCGTAGTATCTCAATATTGTTAATGGACTTGCTGTAGACAATGCATTTCAAATGACACCAGAAATAAAGACCCGATGGATTTAAGTTCGGGACAATAAGGCCCATCCATAGAGGATAGTTGGGAAACAGAGCGTTGTTTTACTCTCAGAGACACTGTTTCGAGGACATAAATACAGTATTTATAATTATATTGATATCCTAGAACATAAAATTAGCGTTAATATTCGTGAGCTGGAAAATGTATTCAGTTTCAACGAATTCGTTTCACTATAGAACTACACTCCAGTCGAATATAAGCTGCGCCAGGAGAAAAAACAGCATATTCCATGGTACAGGCCGTGTCTGCTACCACTCGTAGGCTATCGCATTAAAGGATTTGCGTTTACTCGTCCCATTTTCTCAATATTCTACTGCTCGTCTTTTTATAATCCGAGTCAGTAATACCTTTTTCTTGTGGAATACAGACTCCTTCTTCATGTACAAATTCGATATTGGAAATATCTTCCAGTGACATGTCCATAATGTCTGTGCCTCTGGTGGCCTTAAATCTTCGCATTCGAAAGCATCACCTCGTTCAACTATAAATAATAAGTCTTCAATATTCCTTATTATGATTTCTTGTAACATTCCGTACAGGGCAATTCTTTTGTAATTGGATGCTGTCAATAGAAAATTTAAAAAGTATACTGAAGTAAATAGCAAACTAATGACTAGACAGCGGAAGTTTATGCGTTTATGGCAATTATAAATATAGGAAAACGTATGAGAATGAGCACAAAAATTTAATACACGTTTGTTAAAAATATTAATGAACATCAAGAGAACGTAGTTCACAATGGAGGATAGTTTATTTATTCTAGTTTTATCTGATTCGACATAATCTCCTCCACGGCGAACCCTAACTCTGTCTCTTCTCCTTCTCGTGCACCTCCGTTCTAATGATTCATCGTTTTCTTCACTTTCCAAACTAAGGTATCCGCTCTATCATCGCAGTTCTTCTTTTCAATTCCCTTTCCTTTTTAACTCTTTCATTCCAGTCTGTATTCATCATCGCGACTAATTTTACGTCCTCTTCATTTATCCCTTCTATTATTCCTCTCTATTGACTGATACACCCTTCGATCCTTATACCTTTCTAAAAATACTCTTCCATTACTTGTACGTCTCTCCAATCCAAACATAGGGATTACGGTTTTCAATATCTTCCCGGTATACTGTTCACCTTTTTCGAGGATTATAATCGAATAGTGATTAATGCTCGTCATGAGTTGATTTTGATTCAATCGCGTCCCGTCATTCTGCAGTTGAAACTCGAATTAATCAGAATTCAATTACGAGTGTTTCACGTCGATCTGGAGAAGATGAACAAGTTAGTTCGGTTGCGCATTCTGCGAGGCAAATGATCGCATAGCACGAGCTTTCATGCTTGGAACCTGCACAAGTATCCGGCGGTACAAACTGCCACGCAACGTACACGAAAGGTGATGGCAACGATGCAATCCGAAATCCTCAATATGTCGTGTTTCCTATGCAAACGGATCGTAATTTACCTTAAACTTAATTATGCTCAATCGTATAGTATTGTAGGGTCCGTTAGCGGTGTATACGATCGCATATAGCAGCTTAACTCACGATAAACTCACTAAAATATACTAAATACCTCTCGACTAACAACCTTGTAGTTCAGACTTGATTTCATGAGGCATTAAGTGGGGAAAGATTTAAAAACGATACAGCGCGCTGTAGCAGTTCAACTGTACTTGTACAATTGGTTGCTAGAGCACTCAACTACATTTTTCCTAAGGGGATTAGAAAGCTTCTTTATCTGATGAAGAAAAGTACGTAGGAAAATAAGGCACTCCGTTTGCATTTGTATCTTTCACCAATAAAGTTGTGTACAAAAATTATACAATGACGACGGTAACGTAATATCCAAAATCACATCGTGAGGATCATCTTGGACAATCAAGCAAGACGGGTAGAACTCAATTAGAACTCGTAGAACCAACGAGTAACTAAATTAGAACTCGTAGAACTCGGTAAGGGCATGTAGCGGTATTTCCTGTACTCGCCATCACTGGGTTCGCCAGCCGTTCTATTTTCCGCAAATTACTATTCCCTTCTGACTCCTGTACAAGGTGGTCCGTATATTCTGATCACTGAAAATATAATCCAAAATAACGATTATTTTGGTAAACGAAATGAACGGGTTGGTTTCGTTTCAAAATAGCGGTTCGCAGTACGATAAACTTGTTGACCTCTGTCCCATATATATGTTATGCAATCTTCGATGAACTCTTTTCAACAGTAATTTACCAAAATAGAGCGACGCATTTGCGATTGGAGGCTACCGTAGAATATATAAATATTGTTCAGAGTATTTCACACCCTAAAGCGTAAGTACTAATTACGTTGATAAGAAATTTCAAGTGAATGTAAATTGAAAGTCAATAAAAAGTTTATCTATTTTGCTTGGTAATAGTTAAAAAAATTCGCAATTAACAGAGTTAAGGAATTTCTGGAAATATAGAATTTCAGGAAATATTGAACAGGAAACATTTCGTAGAAATAACTTTGAGTTTGATAAGTATACTTTTCGTTATTTTATTGTTATACGTTCGTTGAATATTTTGACACTCCATCACCAACAAGGTAAAATCTATAAACAGTGGAATCGTCGAGTTAATGGATGACCTACTTTCCAGTGACGTGAGAGTGACGAAGTAATTGGAATCGGTAAAAAAAGAACCTTTTATCGGTTCCGCGAACGATAAAATGGAAAAAAATTGCATCGATACAAATATTTGTTCTTGTTAGTGAACAGCCATTAAAATTATTTCTATTATTATAAGTATACTACTTTTCTTATTGTTTAGAGTAGCTACGATAAATAAATTTCTTGGTATGTATATATGTGCACAGTTCATTCATCTGTGTATCTTTCTACTCGTAACTGTTTCATGCGACAATTTTAAAATATTGATAAAAAAAGATCAAATTGCTTGGAGTGCAAAGAGTTAAAGAAACAAAATTCTATAGCCCCTTTTGAAAAACCTTTTGCAATCGGTTCTCGTAGAAATTTTAAATGAAACACGATCAATGAAGACTTTGGGTAGCATAAATGCGGCAGGAAATCGTTATAAGCGGCACACAGGATGTGTCGGATATCTGTTTTGGACAGGCACCAGAATCCTTCGTCTCTTTAGTTATCATTCGTACCAATGGGAACCTTGTTTTCGGCATTTCCTTCTTCCTTTGAATGTGTTAGGAAATCACGCATGTTCCATTTTACAGATGAACTTTAGTCGACATTTATAAGAACTTTGGAGTGTTTCCTTTGATGTTTACAGAAATCAAGACATAGAAAATTGTAGAACAGTGTTCTCTCACTACTCACACGTATGTGAAGAAAGTTATTCTACGTATGTTACGTCCCTGGAATATATTTATAGCACGCTTTTATTGTTGATAGTGTCTTGATCCGTCTCCTGATTGCTGATTGAAACGAGAGAGAAGGTTCTTCTTTTTCGAATAATTTTAAATCAATGTTACAAAAAAGTGCCATAAATGAATAATTAATCTTGTCATACATTGCTACATTTAATGTTGGCGATAGTCACTTTGTTGACGTGGAAAATAATTAAATATAGAAGACAATCGAATATTAATTGCGTAAACATTAAAATATTGCATAGACTCTAAATTAAATACTCTGTATAAGGTATCCATATGTCGCTGTCGTAATTGAAACCAGCGCGTCAACCACCAAGTATGGCAACCACTCCAAGCCACGTTCATATCTAAATTGAATTCTCAACTGTGCCTCTGGAATGTGTAATACTGCTAGAATTAATCATTTATTTCACACAACTGGAAGCCATGGATTCCTTTATATTAACCACATAAAGGTGTTACTTCAAATATTACTACATTTTCTTTAAACGGCATTTGTTGGACAATTAGAATCTAAAATCTGCAACCTTGGACAGTATCAAGTACAGTATCATAATTTCGGTTGAGTACAGTATCATAGACAGCATTATAATTTCGGACATTTCGGCATTTCTTTTAAAATGTGAAAGATATAACGAACCGTAAATGGTCTGAGACCTGGTCTTAGTACTCTATAAATATCCAAGAAATAAAATCTGTTCTAGAATGAAACTTATGCATTGAATTAAAGCGTAATATTCGTCATTCTTAATTTGCATTAAGCACACATTTTTACAGAAAAAGAGCCTCGCCCGTTTCTTCTTCTTTTTCCCGTGACTATCTGAAACTCAAACAACTCTCTCGAAGTTCGAACGACTTCCTTCCTCCTTATATCCTGATTCTTTTGATAATATAAAAACCAGGAAAGAACGGGGGCTCGCGACAGTCTGCTCAATAAATTGCGGAGTTAAAGCCGTCTCGCGAATCTCTTCCTCTCGACCTAACGATATTAATAGCACCGATGGAGATATTAATCTTCGCGGCTGTGACAAAAACCAAGGAAGACATTTGTGGTGTAAATGTGCAGTTACGTGTAAGACTGTATAAACGATCTTAGACCGCCTTCGTGGTGTTCCTTAAATATAACATCTGGTGTTTATTCAAGACAATTTTATCTGAATCACTTGACGCACTTTCTTTTTAAAGTTACAGAGAAACAAATAATTGAATATTATGCTGCTTATGACATTTCTTGTACCTAATGTTTCTTGATCTGACACTCTGAGGTAAAGAGAAAGTGTATACTCATTAATTGACATATGTGATAACACTAACCTTTCAAACTTTCTTGTGTCCACCACTATATATTGCATTACAAATTTATTTATTAAGAAAGAAAAGTAAGAAATCAATTAACAAATGATAACGTATTCAATGCACAAACATTATCTGATAGGAATGCGATATTTTCGCAGAAATAAGTTCGGAAAGAGAGAAGCATATGAAATCGACGTGAACGAGTATGTCGCGTCAGCATATATGAAACCCCTTTCTGTCGATTCACATTTGTATCTTCGTTAAAGAATTACGACGTATCGGAAATGTGACTGCAGTAGAAAAGAATATATTGGCAGATACGTCAAGATTTCTATATACGATTCTGATAAGAAACGTCTTGATATTAAAGTAATCATTCTAGATGAAGCTCAACCGACTACCAATTGAAGCCTTATAAATAAATGCTATGATTTTGAGACAGAAAACTTTGTAAATTGTTTGATAACTAATAATTCGTTGAATAAACACTTCTAACAATTTCTTGTTCTCTCTTTGCTTTAAGACTATGTTAGATACAGAAGACGTTTCCAAAAGAAACATGCTTTATTTAATTAAATACTTGTCAGTGTTAAATATAAAGTGCATTCTATACGAATGTTAGGTTATAACCTGCTCATCCCCTTTCAAATGCAGTTTAACATGTTTTTGCTTTCAGTACGTTCCTCCCAAGGGTCCACATTTCTAGCAATTACAAAACCAGGGTTTATTCACAAGGTTAGGCATTAAGGACTTAATCTCTATGTTAAAAAGTGGTTGGGATTACCTCATTCTACCCTACGGGAATTATAATGCTTGAAAATTCTAGTGGGTAGTTTCTCAGGATTTAGTGGTTCACCAGCGCGATACAATCTGGCTACCTACTTATGTTATGGATCTCGAATATTGCATTTTGTTGTTGATCACGTGCTGCCATTGATAGAGGAGTGTAATTTTAAACCAATTTCATTAAATAATCACCTCATTATATTTGTCCAAAAGAATGCGTACCTGCAGTCCTCGGAAATGTACTTTCAAGTATTTCGTTATTTGGAAGAATCGAACCTCAAACAAGTACATAGTACTCGAGGGATACGCCGTATTTGATCCTTTCAATCATTGCTATGCAACGCGTAACACGAAACATTTCCGGTAGGATATTCATGAATATTTCCCTACTACTCGATCAGGGTTCGATTCCACGTGGAAGTGCTGCTTTCGTTTCTCGATACAGTTATGGAAGGTTAAAATCCAGTCGGCCAGGATACGCACCTACTTGTATGAAGCTTGATCCCATTGCCAGCATCAGCACGCAAGCCAGTGAAACGTGCCGAGAAGGAAAATACCTTTTGACCCTTCATTGCTCCCATAGTTTCGTTTATTACGGGTGAAATAAATGGAATCCTAAGCCTGCCAGCCATCATTTCCGTGTCACGCGACATATTGCAATACGCGTTAGAAATTATAAATCTTCACGTAACAATTTTCGAATTTCACGATAAAATTAACAACGATAAGCGTCACAAAGCGTAAATCGCTATGTAGCAATCGATTTGGACAGACGATCCTAACGACGAGTTACAGGAACTCGTTTAGTGAATTATTACCTTTGACTTTTTTACAGTGTAACTGGGTCAAATGTAGATGAATTGTAATCGCGATCCTGGTATTAGGTCTTTAATCAGCTTCTTTGGCAGTAACTGAATACGTATGCGGGCGCACTGGCATTTTTAGATTATCTACTAAAATATTAAGTGTAAGAATTAATTTTGTGACTTTCTAAGGTCGATTTCCCTTTCATTTAAAAGTAACAAATACCGCTGTTCGCGTGCTGTAATATTACAGCAAAGTTATATTCTCGATCATTGCTTGAACAAACATTGTTAATAATTAAGGGAGCTATTGTCAGAAATTAATTTTTAGTTATTTTAGCTAACAGATGTAACGATATAGAAAAACTTCTCACGATTACTGTGTTCGACGAATACTTATTCTGAACTGTGATTCTTATTAATATTTAATATATTAATAAGAATATATTAATAAGGACATATATATTCTAAATTGTCGAAAATTCGAGATCGATATGCATGTTTCGAGATTTTTCGAGATCAAAATCGAGATCGTAGAATTCTCGTCTCGTCTCGTCTCGTTCGCATCACTAAACACAAGTATATTACTTAACTCGGATAAGTCTGGTGTGACACCCGTTCTTTCGTTTATTGCTAATCATCTTATTTCCGACTCGTATAACGAGAGATAAACGATCCTCGCAGCAAGCCGTCCGATGTTTTTCGCGAAGATTCCAACTGTCAAGAAGATTTATCGCCGAGTGTCGTCCTTTGCACGACACACAGATTAATACATTTCTAACGGGTCCTTTAGGCGAATCTTACTTTCCTAGATAGGAAAA